AGTAGGCACGGTGGAGTAATGGATAGCGGCTTGGATTGAGGAATCGGAGAGCCGAGTTCGAATTTACGTGTTAATACCCTTGGGAAAGATGTGAATACTCTTCTTCTCCCTCCAGCTATGGGTAAATAGCAGGACAGACTGGGTTCTATAGCCTTGGATGGCAACTGGTCTAGGAGAAGGAAAACTCTGAATTCAAACCTGCTCTTAGAGGAGGGTGAATGGAGTCTCTCTGAGCCTTGGTTGGCAATCCATTTAGTGATGGTGTCACGATAAAAAACACCCTTGATAGCCCGAGCGAAGCATCAAGTATTCAGCTATTTGACATGATTATGTACTACATCAATCAAAGTATTAGCTATCACAGATAAGGAATACTGGAAAGGTGTAGTGAGTTCAATCTCGGCTGAGGCCGCAAGAGATGTGATGCAAATTCGGGATAACAACTGAGAAATTACTCTACTTATTGAACTATTTAGGTCATGCCACATTGATGATAAACTCCTACAACAAAAAAAAAATATGATTTCTTCTGAGGAGGCTCATTTTCTTCGCAATATGGTCTGTTGATACAATAAATTCTATAGTCTGCAATGTTTCTTTCATCCCTCTTTGTTATCAATAGGAATAGATATTCCTGGTTATTCTGTGAACTAAATCCATTTAATGATATTTTAACACACATTTAGAAAGCGGTCCTTATTATAATTTTATATGTCTACGTAATATATCTCCCTAGTTTTAGGTCAGTAAAATTGTTCTCTGTCTACATCTCTGAGACGAAGTGTTGTAATTATTTACACTTTTTACAATATTGGGGAAGTTGCCCTAATCTTAATTGCCATATTCACAACGTTTCGTCCGTTGTACGTTCCAACCTTCTTCAGTTGATTGGAATTTCGAACTGAACATTTTCTTTCGTTCATCGTGGTAGAGTTTTTTAGTTCCACGTGTTGAGCCTCTTCCGGATGCCTCAGTTATCTCCCTGTAACTCAACTCTCCAAGATGTTTTGTTCACCACTGCCGTAGCCATACTGAACTCACAATTCTTTGGGCCAAGTCACTGGATTTAACTAACTCCTTTAACCATTGGGCCATGAAAAAAAAAAACCTTGGAGAATTAAAGGGAAATAAGTGAGACGTCCGGAAGAGACATGGTACATGGAACTAGAACAATCTATCCCGGTGGAAGGAATAAAGGGTTCAGTTCGAAATTACAGTCACCAGAAGAACACTAAAGCGTACAACGGCTGAAACGTCGAGAATATGGCAATTAAGATGCGGACAACAATCCGAATAATGTAAATACGGAAAATAAGATTTTTCTATTTCATATTATTTTGCTATAAACTTCTAATTTAACTCTATTTCTCTCGCCGTCTTCACAGATTCCATGTTTATCATTATGTGATCCTTTTGTACCTCGAGAATTTATAACTCAGTTTCATGTTTAGAAAACTTCGTGTTACTATATAAAATTCCTGGTTGCAAAACCTCTGCTTAAGGAACTCAAATATCACAAATGGCTTCGTTTAGTTTTCTCTCTCCTTCGCGTATGGTTTACAGTCATATCACTTAGGAACATTGGTTCTCGTTCAATCAACAAAGTTAAGCAACTTCGAGAATAGTACCTTAGTGGGTGACCGCTTAGGAATACCAGATGCTGTATGCTTGTATGTGCCTATGATATCATGGATGATGATTTGGAATTGTAAATCAGAGAACCAAATTTCAATTCCTGTTAGGTTCGTTATAACAACTTACGCTCAAATACGCTAGGTAAAGATATGAATCCACCTCATCTGTCCCCCAGCTATGGGTTTATTAGTAGAACATATATCGGCAAATTATTATCAAATTTATCTGCCATCAATGTACAATTTTTTTTTTATTTAATAATAAGTTCTGGATTTAATTAAACTGCAAAAGGTTGATAAGCTGTGTAACATAATCAATCAAATAATCCGTTTAGGTTTTTTTTTTTTGCTTTGAATACAGGACTTAAATTAGGCAACTGCATCCTCTGCATGGGATAATATTTCCACGCACACATTCACTTGTAGACTTTAAATTCTACTAATATCTACGTTTTTTGGCTCTAGTATAAACCGGAATTAAGTTTACTATTAGATTTTCGTGCACACCGCTCTATATGTACCTATCGCTGGATTAATTGTTTTTACCTGAAATACTTGTATTCGATATTAATTAAAGCAAAAATGATATGTCGTAAAGTAAACAAACTTATAGATATATCAAAGTCATTTTGACTTCACAGTGAAGCATAAAAGAACACTTCTTTATTTTCCTAAGTTTATCGTATAATCATTTTACCCAAGGTAAGTTGTTGTATCTTAATATTTCAGTTTAAGGATATAAAGAGTGGCAAAAGTAAACATTGTATCGTTTTCAATCATAAAACCTGTATTTGTTTCCCGTAGAATAAAAGAATTGTTATCGTTCAAAGTTCTGACGCGGTTAACAATTTTGAATTGGCTTTTGA